AAGTTCTGTGATAAAATGCCAAGAAAGGGAAATAGTTATCAAGTTAAGCCATGCTTTTAATTCCTGCAAAATATTACAAATGATGCTAAGAAGTTTTAAATTATTAAGTCAAAGGGGTATCTACAGCACTAATTGATTGATATGCTACATGAATGTTTCCTATTTTACATAAAAAGATTTGGTTCTTTTTTTTTTTTTGAACCTGGGATTGAACTCAGGTCTTGTGCTTGTGAAGTGAAGCAGGTACCAGAACCATAGAGCTAAATCCCTGGCCCTAAAATGTGTTTCATATTACATTTCTCCTTTCAAAAAATTAATCTTGAATTATTCAAGGTTTGCATTGTGCAAAGAATTCAGGATTTCCAGCTTCCTGAGGCTTCCTCTGAATCCAGGCCCCCCAAATATGAGGATTGCGTGTTTGCTTAGGTCTGAGGAGTATTCAGAAACACTCTGCTCAGTGACTGAGCTTTTTTCTGGAAGCTAGAGTTGAATAGCAAAGGCAAAGAAGTGGCTTTTCACCCTCTCCAGCTTTGACTCTGACTTCCTGTTCTGAGTGAGCTGGCTGTTGGAGGGACATTCCCCAGTGCCTAACATTATTTTAACCTTTCAACTAAGTTATTTTTGTACAGGAGAGTGCGAGACCATCACCCTGATTGTTTAACTTTACACAGGGAGTTCTCCATTGTGGTGCCTATAGGATATAAATTTTTCCTCTCATACAGTTCCCACAGAAAACTGTTCAGATGTGTCTATACTCCTCAGTGCACAGACTACTGAAATGTGAACAAAAGCCCCTCCCCATTAAGGATATGCAAATGCCAGTCATCCTCTTAGATCTTCATTCAGTGCAAATCTGAATGCAAGCATTGTTTTCCTGTGGAACATCATTCCTCAAGGTCTTTCTTCTAAATCAAAGGGAAAATTCCTGTATAAATTCATTGTACATTAGGTATTAACATCACATATTCTAATCACTGTAAGTTTAAGAAAAACCATATTTATTAATTTATGTAAAAGTCAGCATTTTTGTTCATCTTAATTATTTAAATAGGGCTTCTGTATAATTAAATAACATGAAATATAATATAGATAGTGTCATACATGTATCATTCTGAAATTTGCATCTTTTCCATATGCTAGAGGCATTCCCTTGTTCGATATACATGGCTTTCACTTTTTTCCCGTTTTGCAAATCATCTTTTGATTTCTTGGTAGTATCCTTTGAAAGATCAAAGGATTTTAATTTTGATGAAGTTCAACTCACCTAATTTTTCCTTTTATTTTTTGATGTTTGGTGTTATATCTAAGAATATGCAGAATTCAAAGTCATGTTATGTAGCCTTATTTCTTCTAACAGTTTTAGACTTTTTGCCCTTACACTTATATTTTTCATCTGTTTTGACTTAATTTTTTTATGTGATATAATATGAATACAACTCCATTCATTTATATGGGGCTGTCTAGGAGTCCCAGCACTATTGCTTCAAAGACTGTCCACCGATACTGGCACTTGTAATAAATTAGCTGACCGTGGATGGTCAGGTTTATTCATTGACTCTCAGTTGTATTCCATTGGCCTCTGTGTTAATAGATATGCCAGTACCATGGTAACTTTTTCGCTATTGCTTTATAATAAATTTGGTAGTCTGTAAGTGTGAGTACTCCTGCTTTATTCTTTTTCCAACATCATTTGGGTTCTGTTGGTCCCTTAGAACCAGCCTGTCAATTTGTACCAAAAAGTCAGCTGGAATTCCATAGTGGTTACATTAAGTTAGGTTACCATTGCCATATTAACTGTACAATGTTAAGTCTTCCAACCTTTGAACATGACATATTTTTTCATTTACTTAGGTCTTCTGTATTTCTTACAAAAATGTTTTTATACCTTTCAGAGCATGAAAGTTCTTTACATTCTTTTTTAACTTATTTCTAAGTATTTTATTACTTTTGATGTTTATTGTGCATGGAATTATTTTCCTAATTTCATTTTCATGATTATTTCTTGCTGGTGTTTCAAAACACAACTCATCTTTGCATGTTAATTTTGCTGCCTGCTATGTTATTGAATTAACTTATTTAATCTAACAGTTTGTATGTGTGTATATGTGGGACCATTAGGAATTTCTACTTAAAAGATTGTATTGCCTTGAATAGGGATTATTTTACTTTCTTTCCAAATCTGAATGTATCTCCCCCTTGTCTAATTTTTTAATTAGAACTGCCACTACTATATAAAATAGAAGTGGTCAGACCAGATAGTCTGTCTAATTTTTTATCGTTGAGGACAGTCTCTTAGTTAACATTACAAAGTTAGCAAAGCCGGGCATGGTGGCACATGCCTATAATCCCAGAACTTGGGAGGCTGAGGCAGGAGGATCACTGTGAGTTCAAGACCAGCCTGGGCTACATAGTGAGTTCCAGGTCAGTCTCAACTACACAGTGAGACCCTGTCTCAAAACAAAACAAAACAAAACAAAACAGTTAGCATTGAGTTTTTCAGATATGGCCTGTATTGTGTTTGGATAGCTGCCTTCTATTCCCATTTTGTTGAGTGTTTTTATTACAAGAGTGTTGAATTATATCAAACATATTTTCTGCTTTGCTTGAGTCAATGATGTGGGATTTTTTTTACTTGGTTAATTGATGTGTTACATCAATTGATGTTTTTATTTAGAAGTATAGTTGCATTGCAGAAATAAATTTCACTTGCTGATGATGTATAAGCCTTTTAGTCACATGCTGCTGAATTCATTTTGCTATTATTTTGTTGAGGGCTTTTATATTCATATTCTTATAAGATATTGGTCTGTAATTTTTTTCTGATGTCTGGTTTGGAAGAATTTGTGAGCATTGTTATTAATTTTTTTTCTGTTTTGAATATTTGGTAGAATTAATTGATTAAGCCACCTGGATCTGGGCTTTCCTTTGTGGGGACAATTTTAATGACAGATCAGTCTCTTCTCATGTCATAAGTCTGCTCAGATTGTCTGTTTCACCTAAATCAAGTTCAGAACTTTGTGTCTTTCTGGAATCTAGTCATTATACTGAATATGTAATATTTCTCATATTTTAAATTTATATTTCCATAATTAATAATAATGTTGAACATCCTCTCATATGTTTATGAAAATGTACATTATATGTTTTGTGAAATATCTGGTCAAACATCTGTCCATTATTCATATCAGTTGTTTGGCTTCTTATTATATTGTGAAATTTCTCTATTGTGGATAAGGGAGCTTTGTCAGAGAGCTTTGATTTTAGTGTCTTCCTTAGGTTTATGGTCCATTGTGATTTAATTTTTGTGTATATTATGAGGTAGAGTTGAGGTTCATCTTTTTTAGCAGAGATTCATTTTTGTTGAAAAGATTCCTCCTTCTTCATGGAACTGCGCTGACCACTTGATCAAAAGCCAATCGCTTGTATAACTGTGGTTCTTTTTCTGAGATGTCTGTGTTTCAGAGCTATATTATCAGGGGCATGTACACTTATAATTGTGTCTTTCTAGTGTATTGACCTTGTTCTCAATAGCGATGTGTATCTTTTATTTTTACTTTTAAAATACATATATTATAGACAAAATATTGTTTTATATTACTGTTTTCTCAATTATCTCTACATTTTTATTGAAGTATGTAGTACATTTTTGTTTACTGTAATTATTATTGTATTTGGATTTATTTTCTCTTTTTGCCATTTATCTTCTGTCTCTTTTTTGTTGTTGTTTCACTCTTCTTATCTGCTCTCTTTTGGGTTAAACTATTTTTTGTGGGAAGTTTTTTTTTTAATTCTCCATCAGTTCATTAACTTTGTTCCTATGCTTTATATTTTGTTGCTTGATCTAGGAACTATAATTTGTACCTCTTACTTTTAGTAAAACATCGGAGTCTTGCAAGAGTTTACTTCCATTTGGCTATGCTCATCCTTTGTGCTACTGTTATTATATATAGTCATATCTCTATCATAAACATAAGATATAGCATTATAATTCACCTTAAAGATTCCTGAGTCTCAGTAAATTGAGGGAAGAAGCAATATTCATTTATCTATATTACTTATCTCTTCATTCCTCTCTATTAATCCAAGTTACTGCCTGGTTTCTTTTATTTCAGCCTAAGGTATTTTTCCTTTAGCATCTTAAAAATGTAGACCTATTCACAGTGAATCCTCTTATGTTTCATTTATGAAAGTGTTTTTAACTTTTTCCTTGAAGAATAAATTCAATGGACATAATCTTCTTAGAAAATGTATCTTTCTTCACATTTTGAATTTTATTCCAGTGTCTTGAAGCCTCAAAAATTTTAATGAGAAATTAGCCATTATTCATATTTTTATTGACTTTATCTAATGTGAAATTTCATGGTTAGGTGGTGATGGTGGTTTTGTTGCTGTTTTGTTTTGTTATTTGGATTCTAGTGGTTTAATCATGAGGTGCATAGGTACACTTTCTTTATTTTATTTGAGTCCGTTTGGATGCTTGTAGCTTTTTCAGCAAACTTGGGCAGATTTGAATTATTTCTCTAGATGTTTTTCCACCCATTCTCTTTCTCCACATCTAGTTTGGCTTGCTATCCTTATGAGGTATTAAAAATATTTATGACACATAGTTTTAAACTTTGGAAGAATGTTTAAAAATCAAAGAAGGTAGTTGTGCAGAGCGGCACACACCTGTAATCTCAGTATCTTTGGAGGCTGAGGCAGGAGGATGGCCATTCTGAGCCCAGCATAGACAACTGATCAGTAAAGTGAGACCTGCCTCCAAATGAAACATAAAAAGGGGCAGAGATGTAGCTCATGCAAAATCCCTAGGTTCAGTACGTAAGGTGAAAATTAATGAATGAATTAATTAAAAGAGATAAGTATGGATGAAATGCCAAAATGTCCAAGAAAATTTAGCTCCTTATATATATAAGTACAAGCACTGCACAACTCAGCGTATTTATATTGGGAAATATTAATGTATCTGTCCACTTTCCCGTTTTTGAAAAATTTTTTCCTAGGTGCATTTCCTCCTTCTGCTATTTATGCACGGAAAGACTTGCTACAACGATCAACCCATGTTGCTACCAAGACTTTCCAAGCTCTTCGCATATTTGTGAACAATGAGCTCAACGAACTCTACACAGGACTTAGGACAGCTCAGAGGTTTCTGAGACCTGGTGGTCGCCTTGTTGCCATCTCCTTTCACTCATTAGAAGATCGAATCATCAAGAGATTTTTGCTTGGGATAAGCATGGCAGAAAGGTTTAACCAAAGCGTCAGACAGAAGATGGTACAAGCCTCGGGTTCAGATCCTGAAAACAAGGAAGGAATTGCTGTAAAAGCTCCTTTAATGTGGGAACTGATAAACAAGAAGGTACTTACTCCCAAAGATCAGGATGTGCAAGATAACCCCAGAGCACGCTCAGCCAAGCTGAGAGCTGCTATCAAATTATGAGAAATTTAGCATAATATGATCTTCACGTTTTCCTTCAGTGATATTCCTGAACACTGTAAGACAGCTTAAAGTATAGGGCAGTGTTGAAATTGATGGTATCTAGCCTTATTTTTCTTCTCAGAAAAAAATTGTAAGAAAACTTAGCATGACATGGAGATTTCAGCTGGGAAGCAGCAGTGTCTCTAGATTGGAAAAATGCATTTGTCTTTGCATAACATTTGACTTTTGAGACACAATCCTTTACCCGATAAGGAAATAATAAAAAATATAATTTGTGTTTATCTAAATATGTAAACTGAAGTTGTCAAAGAAGAAGAGATTATAATCATATCTGCATGCCCTAAATTCTGAAGTTAGATGTTCACATTTGCAAAAGACTTTCTGTGGCTCAAAAAAAACTAGTGATAGTCATGAAATGAATTTTAATTTCCCTAATTGTGAATAATTAATTGGCATAACTCAAATACAGGCTTTTGACAAATTTTACTTTTCAAATATTATTTTTAAATGTATTATACTGATGAATTTCACTGTTGAAATTAAAGTTACTTATTGTACTGGGACTTTTCATTATTAAATGAGCTAATTTTTCATGTATTGCAAAGTAAAAAATGTGGAGTTACCCTAACAGCCATCATAGAGAATTGTTTTATGGAACTTACATTTAATGTCACATGTCTATTTTAGTAACAACTCAGAAAGCCTTTAGTAAATAATATAATCTCTTGTTTGAATCATGCATTTTAATTGAGCTATTCAAAAGAATTCAGAGTCTCTTTGAAGTAGAAAACTATCTGATTTATTCAGGATATTAAAATTAATGTTCCCTTAATGTTTTTACTTAAGTATAGTAGCTATAATCAAGAGAAAGTGCTTATTCAGGATAGATCTACTTGGTAGAGAACTCTTTAAGGAATTGATGAGATTGATTCATAATTCCAGTACTAACTTTTTATATGTAAGTATGCATTTTTTATTTATTAATTGTTCAGTAATTACTGAATTTGTCACTAGAGAAACCAAAGTAAGTACAGTACGCAGTGAGCCATCGTACCCGTGCTGTGGAGTCAACAGTCCTGTGGAGGAAGAGGATGTGTGTTCCACAGTCACAAGAACCATTGTAAAATGGGCACAATGGAAAACGTTGCATTTGGAAAAACCAAAATAGTGTGTTCGGAGCATCTAACAGGAATTTGATCTATTGAAGAAAACCAAATCTGACAGCATAATACTCCTGAATTGCAAGTTGAAGGATGGGTAAGAAATAATGAAAGAGTTCATAGGGGGCATGGTGATTAAAGACACATGTAAATGAATATTCTCGTAAGTAGTTATAATTGAAATATTTGCACTATTAATTTGCTCAAGACACAGTACTTCAAATGCAAGAAAAAATCATATTCTCAATTATGTTGATAGATTGGGAGTCCAAGTGAATTATATGTGTGTGTGTGTGAAATAGATAAGAATTAAATATATGACTTCACCTCAGACTTATTTTACTTCCTCTGTTAAATTTAACTCAGTTTCTGAACTTCTTTGGTGCTCTAATTTAGTGGCTGTATATTTAAGTCTGAACAATCTCGCAGTGAAATCAGAATTAGAAAGAATCCTGGAAAACAGTATGCTCCAAACAGAAAGAAGAGAATCTAATGAGATTAGTCCCCTGACACTTACCTGAAAACTTTCCCAAGTTGCTCTAATTTAAGTTCCTATCTGAGAATCTGATTAGAAAAGAACAGGCCACAGTCACGTTAAACGATTCCCCTGATTCATCAGTCCTTTTTTATTATTAGTCCATGTTTGCAGATCAAAATATCTACATTCCTTGTGTGGAGTTGGTTCACGTACAGAAAACATCTCAGTTCCTCTTTTCATCCCCCTCCTCAATCCCCTCTGCATCCGATACAGTTACTATGGAAACCATTTTCTTTCATGTTAAGTGGAAGTTCATTATGGGGGTTGGATGGTGTTCAATGCCAGAATGCAGCGCTCATTGGAAATCCAGTCGTTTCCGGTGTAAGAGTTAAGCTGAGGTCAGACTGGAGCAGAGCAGGCCTTTTATTGATAGGACTGGTGACTGAGAAGAGACAGAGAAACAGGGGAGAGTGCCTGGTGCGGAAGCAGGCGGACATCGGAGGGAGAAGCCTACAAGCAAAGGGACATGCAGGATGGCAGGCAGTCCCTGGAAGGATAGGAGCGTGGGACAGATGTTCCTCCTCGGCGTCCTCAGGAGGAGCCTGCCCTGGTGACTCCAGGACTTGGGATCCTCACCTCCGGAGCACTGCAAGAATACATTTCTATTACAAGCAAACCTGGGTTTCCGGTAACTTATGACTTCAACCCTAGGAAACCAATACTCTGACAGATAAAACTCTTGAGTAATATGCATGAAAAGTCTTTCAGTAAGCTCGAAATTGGTTTCAAAATGTTCTGTTGTGAAACGAGTTTAACTCTTTTTGGTTACTAGTCTTTGTTGTTGTGTGCGTAATATGCTTTGGGCAATATGCAAGCAAGTTTTACACAGTTAATGCTGGAGAATGGTTTTGAGAAATTCAAACAATACATAGTAGAAGGTAAAAATTGTTCCAATGAATATATAGTGCTTTTCTAATAAAATGTTTCTGAATCTTTGTATTGAGTGCTTTAATGAATGATTTTAGCCTAGCACCAATGTCTTGTAGTACACAATTCACAGTTCTTGGTCACCAATTTAAAAAATTAAATAAGTACACAATTTTTAGTTGCCATTTCTATTTTGTTTGTTTGTTTTGGTTTAGTTTGGTATTTTTGTTTGTTTTTGAGACAGGGTCTCACTATGTATTTCAGGCTTGCCTTCCACTCACTACGTAACCCAGGCTGGCTTCAAACTTGTAGCAATCCTCCTCTTGCAAGCAATGGCTTCTGAGTGCCGGGATTGCAGGCATGTGCCACCATGCCCATTTTGTTTTGTTTTAAGAGTTGGATATTAGTTACTGTATTCTCACTGAAGTTTATAGGACTTTTAAGAAATTTTAATCCTATCTTTTCTATTTCATGTAATATATATAATTATAGTAAATTAACTTATATTGAAGTATTTGTTAAGCTGTAATCAATACTTCTAAGAGAATACAGTATGCCAGTTGGTTTTTTTAAATTAACTAATATCTCCTAGAATTCACCTGCAAATATTTAAATTTTTAATTTTTTTTAGTTTGGATAGTATGACATATTTCCAGAGGATATAATTTTTGTTCTAAAATTGTGATTCTGTATTATTGGCTTTAAAAGAATAATTTTATTTTCATTTGAAATCTCTTGTCCCAAAATGAGACAGTTCTTAGGGGAACTTAATGGTTAAATGTGTGTGTGTGTTTGTGTGTGTGTGTGTGTGTGTGTGTGTTTATATTCATTCAATAAGCACATTACAAGCTATTTAGGAAGCAGTAAAAATACCTCTCTCATTTCTCTTTTTTATATTCTTCTGTCTTTATCTGTTCACATAGCTAAATGAATGTTTATGTGAATTGAGATGATTGTGATGTATGTTTCAACTTTACTCTGCAGGGTAAAATATTAGGTAGTACAGACATGTATTCTGGTGAACCAAAGCCTACATATTAGAATCCTTGTAAAGGATACATATTCACTAAGAGCTGCTTCTGTTTAAATTTCTATATCTAATTCAATATAGCTATTTCTATTCTGTTTTTATCATGTTGTAGTTTTCTAATAGTTTTTTGTGTGAGCAACATTCTATGTGATAAGAATTAAAGTACAAAGGTAATTTTATGAAGTGCTTGATAAATATAAATTTAACAACAGAGATCCTGATCAAAAGTGTATTTTTCTCAGAACTACAATGCCATATGTTTGATGTTGAATGACATATAGTGTGTAAAAATCAGCACTGTAGTCTAAAGATACTGGATTGTATAATAAACATTACTATTTTCATATGTTCTCCATCTTCATCTGTTTATAGCTACTATTTTCAACTAATGTTTGGTAACATAAAGGTTAATCTACAGAAATGTCAAGACAACATTTAAATATAAAATATTTTAAAAGTCTAAAGTGTAAATTTTCAAGAACATTAAAAATTAATTAGGTTAGTAATGCAAGAAACAATGGTGATAATTATAATGCCTATTATAAAGTTCTTCACACTTTACTGTCTTTCATAATCCACCTGAATTACCAGACAAAAAGAAAAAAAATTGAATACTGTGATATACAAAGAAGAGTATTGCTTTTGATTCTGTTGGATTTCCATACATGTTATATTATGTAGATCCTGAAAAATCATCTACCATTAGCAGTTTCCTTCTTACTTGCTCATCTACAATGCTCACCTCTAAAAAGAGAACATGAGCATGATTCTTGTGTAATTGTTTTGATTTATTAAATGACATTTCATGCTTTTGGCAGTAATACTTGTCTCCTCTTCCAAGCTGAGCATTTTAGAAAAGTCAAGTAATAGGAATCCTAATTTTTCACAAAGAAAAACTACTATCATCCACCTTTTACAAGTGCTGAACTGAGTAACATCATACATAACAATATTGGCTGTTGATTTAAAAAACCAGGAGTTTGAATTCTAGGTTTGTCCTGCATACATTAGCTAAATATATGAATTTGGGAATGATATTTACTCTCTTGAATTCTTGTTTGTTTCAGTTGAAAATGAGGGGGTGTTGGTATTTTCTGAAGGTGTTACTGTGAATCAAATAGAGGATAAGAAATGTTTATACATGAGCTCAGTATGAAATGAGTTAAAGCACATATGTGAAAACTTTAACACTGTGCTAGACTTAGCAAATACTCATTGGCAATATTATTTTGCTGAAAAGGTTTACTAAAATATGACATGTTTCTAGTTACTATGATTAAGGATGTGTATGCTTTATTCTGGAAGTTTTAAGTGTAGCCTCAGCATCACTAGTGGTACTTGATTGAATTATGGTCAGTTTCCTTATTTGAGAATTTTAATCCTTTATTTTTTAACACCCTCAGTGTTTGTTATACCTTGACAGGCTACATAAAATTCACAATCCTGTGTTCTTGGGGAGTTTCTGTTTGTAGGAAGACAAGATGGGAGATGAAAAAAACAGTTGTTCAAATTATTTGACATTAATTTAGATTGGAGAAAGAATCCTCCTACATTTCCATATGAGTAAGTGGGCTAAGTAGGTCATTATGTGATTGTAACCATAGGGTGATCCAAAATATGATTTTAAAGGGAAAAGGAAATGAGCAATTCATGAGATATTAGATAGAAAATTAGATAGAAAAAGTATGAAAGGTTTTCAACTTCTGTACTCTAATACTAATAAAAAAGCCTAGGGACCAATACAATGTGCATCTTTTCTTATTTCACCAGGTCTTAATTTATTTTGTTTGCTTCCTCCAGTTGTTAGCTGTGAACCGCTCAAAGAATGGAAAAGTTATCCCAAGGTGTAGTGGCACAGGGTAAATATTCAAATATCCAAAAGGAATGAATCAGGGGATAGAAAAGAATAGGAAAACAATATTAAGAAAAACCAGCAAGACAAATATTAAGTCCTATAGTTCCATGTCCAGCATCCAGAGCACATGGTGGAGAGATGTAATTTCCAAAGTGCATAGGTAGCCCCAGTGCGGTGCACTGGAGTGTTGCAGCCCATCTGGCCTTCCTCTTGGGCTGGTTTTTTTATGGCCTGCAGCTTTTCTTGGCAGACAGACTATGTTGCTAGAATCTCCAACTTCTTGGGGTCTTTATTTTACCTTCAGTGTCCTTCCCGTAGCTCCATGTCCTCTCTGGGACTCATTTCCTCACCTCTCAGGCTTTCCTTTGAATTCTGGGAAGAAGCTTCTGTTACCCCATAACTCTTACGTTATGCATGCCAGTAAAAGCAACATCATGAGGACAATGTCAAGATAGCCAGGGCCTTCTTGACAGAAGCAGTAGCCAGGGCCTCTCCGACTATGGTTACAGTGGCCTATGAGTGCCTAGATGGCTTAGTAGAGTGAAATGAATCTCAGGGAACCAAACCTCTAGGAAGCCTTTTTTGAGCAGGAATTCACATAATCTTCCCAGAGGAAAGGTGTTTTGTATCCTTGAGCCAACAGTGATTGGGGTCTTGCTGATTTCTGATGTGGTATGCCCTCAAAGCATCTTCCTTCTTGTCTTAGTGCAAAGTACATATGTGTGTGTGTGTGTGTGTGTGTGTGTGTGTGTGGTGTGTGTTTTAATAATGCTAACCTCTTCAACCATGCATCTAACTGGGCTCTAACTTCACATATTATTTCTTTTGGGCCAAAGTTAGTTTTTAAAGTTTTTCTACTTTCCTTTTTGCCCCCAGTTCTCACTATAAATCTGGCTTAGATCATCCAGCATTACTCATGCTACAGCCTGAGTGTAGTACTGTGTACTACCACATTAATTAGTCTGCTGTCTTTCATATGAAGTTTTACGACATGAGCAAAATGATAACAAGTTCTTTGTTGGAATGTAAAATTCATGGCCTCTAGTCCTTTTTCTAATACACCTCTTAGTCCCATCTGAAAACTCTTCAGTCTGGTTACTGCAGATCCCTGCAGAGAATCCCAATCTCCTGCTTGGTGCTACAGTGTACAGGAAGAAGAAAGACTCAGAGACAAGTGAAATGGGAAATTAGAATGGTCACAGCTGAGTAAGCAAAGACCCTGAACAGCCAGAACCACTGATATTTATTGGTGACACAATCATTTGTTTAAGTTGGGGCGAGGGGGCTATGTAAGAGTGGTAGGGTTCAGTTGCCAATGCCAGCAAGGCTTGTAAAAGAAGAGAAAATGCATTCTTGTGTTAAGAATAGAGCAGACCAGATATAAGTTGTCTTCAGTTAGAAGTTTTTAATTTTTGGAACAGAATTTGAATATAAGTCATTCTGACTTTTGCTGCCATGTTATCTCATGTCAAGCCCCACAGCTTCATGGGCCATTTCTCTGGCCTCTGCCATGGCCATTGGTGGTGGGGCATGATATTGACCCTCGTGCCATCCACAGTGCTCCTATAAATCATGCAGGCTTCAGTTGAACTCACTTCTTAAAACAAGCCCATTGTGGGGTTAACTCTTTACAGCCTGCACTGCTTACAGTCTGCTTTGGGTATAATCAACAAGGAAGTCTGCCTCTCTAGCCTTTACTGTCTCAATTTTTATCAGTAGTTTGGTCTTCTGAGTTCTCACCAGAATTACCTACCAGTCTGCTTACAACATTCTAGGGCTTTTCCAGGCACCTTCTCCAAACTTTTCCAAATTCCTGCCACAAACAACTTTTAGAAGCTTCTGAGCCACACCATCAAGTACAGCCACAGCAACGACTCCACTTCTGTAGCACCCATTTTCTCTGTTAGCCTTCTCATCACTGAGACACTAAGTAGAAGAAGCTTAATTTGGCTCACTGTTCAGGAGGTTTAGTGTATGGTCAGAGCTTCAAGGTTGAAATACCAAGAGGGAGGATGTGGTAGAGAAGATATGCTTAGTTTATGGCAGCCAGGAAACACAATAGGGGAATAGTGTCAGAGAGGAGGGGCAAGGGACTAGATGTACCCATGGATAGGCCACCATGACCCATCCAGACATGCCCAGAAGTAAGCTTTGCTAATCTATGAGGTGTTTTAATCCAATCAAGGTGACATATCACAACATGAAATGTTTGCAACATGGAAACTGAAGCCAAATGGACCTTGAAGAAACTACATTTCTTCCACATCATCTTCCTTCTAAAAATTGAATTAAATTGATTCTTTATGCTA